CAGGGATGGGGCAGCCACAGCTTCTCTGGGCAACCTGTTCCAGTGTCTCACCACCCTCACAGGGAAGAATTTCTTCCTGAGATCTCATCTAAATCTCCCTTCTTTCAGTTTAAAACCATTCTTCCTCATCCTATGGCTCCACTACCTGATCAAGAGTCCCTCCCCATCTCTCCTGTAGCCCCTTTAGGGACTGGAAGGGGCTCTAAGGTCCCCTCGGAGCCTTCTCTTCTCCAAGCTGAACAGAGAAGAGCGTATCCGGGGAGTGACAACCCCCCAGGGGCTGCAGCAAGGAGGTGACACGCACACCCCTCCTTGTCCCTGGGGCTGCCACGTTCGTTAGCGGGGTCCCTAATTAACACCACCGGCCGGGCAGGCCGTTCCCTGACGCGCGTGGTCCTGTGTTTGGGCTGAGGACGGAGGGGCCGCCCGGGGCGGAGGCGGTGCTGGATGGCCAGGCCTCCCGCTACTTCGCCTCTCTGGACGCCAGCGTGGGGGCCCTGCAGCAACGAGCCCAGCAGCTCATCGACAAGGTGAACGACAGCCGAAAGGAGGATCACACCGTCATGAGCGGCTTCAGGGAGAGCCTCCTGCTGAAGGTGGGGGGGCCGCCGGCGCGCCGAGGGGGGGAGCAGCGGGCGAGGAGAGCCCGGCCGGGGCTGTGTGGCCACGCAGTCTCTGCTTGAGGCGTTTAATTGCATTATTCCACCCGAATTAGCAGCAGAAGGGGGGGAGTGGTGAGACGAAGTGCTGTGGGGAGGGAGCGTGGTGCGAGCGGCCGCCGGCGCCAGCTGCAGAGCCCGGTGTGCCGGCTGCACCGGTGCTCGGGAGGGGGGAAAACACCCACAGCCCCTTCGGGGGAGGCTGCAGCTGCCTCCGGCCCCGCTGTGGGGACGCCCACGGTCCCCTCTGTCCCCACGCAGCCGCTGGCTGCCCTCCCTGTCCTCGCTCGGCTGCGCCGGACTTTGCTCCAGCCGGGGGGGGGCTGGAGAGGGGGGGCTCCCGCAGGCCCAGGCACAGATGGCCGCCCGGCCTCAGCAGCTGCGGCCCACGGTGACCCGGCACTCGGTGGCTACCACAGCCGGCGCTGCGGCTACCGTGGGCGCAGCTGGCAGTAGCAGCGGCCAAGCCAAGCCAGGCTTAGAGCCGTGCCAGCCCGGGCAGCCACAGCTGCCACCCCCCCTCTGGGGATGGCAGCCGGGTGCCGGCCGTGCCAAGCAGCACTGCCTGCCCCTGCACCCCCAAAAAGAACCGTTTTCTCCCCCCTTTTTTTGTGCCCCGGGGCGGCGGCAGGTCTCGGGGCTGGCGGAGCAGCTGGAGGAGCGGCTCTTCCATCTCTACGGCCTCCACAACGAGCTGATCCAGGAGCGGCTGCAGGAGCTGGCGGAGGTGATGGAGAGAGTGGGGCAGGCCGAGGACGAGCTCCGGCAGGTTTGCCACACCGTGGAGGCCGCTTACCGGGACCTCTGCCTGCAGCCCGAGACCTGAGACGAGCCCCAAAATCCGCAGGGGTCCCCCCCAAATCTGCAGGAGGCCCCTCGGCTCCACGGCAGCCCCGTGAGCGGGACGCATCCCCCGCTGCTGATGGCTGCGAGCAGGAAAGGGGGATTTGAGGCCCAAAAAGGGCTTTTCCGTTGCTGTTAGTGTTCGGGTTTATCACAAATAAAAAGAGAGGAAAAAAAAAAAACCCTAAAATGCTTAATTCTTGGGGGGTCTGCCAAAGTTTTGCTGCCTGCTTGCTGGGAAAAACCGCACCACGCACTGCACGTCCCCTCCCACCGGCAGCTTAATTAACACTAACGAGGCTGGCGCTGACGAACGGAGGCTGAAGCAGGGGGGAGGCTTTTCCACCTTTTATAGGTGAAGCGGCCGCGAGGGCGGCGAAGGCACCGGGGGCAGGTCAGGGCCAAGAGGCTCCCGCGGCAAAACCCGGCACAACCGGGGCTGCCGGTCCCAATGGTGACACCGAGTCCCCTCGGTGACAGTGGGTCTGTTCGGTGACACCTTGTCCTGTCGGTGACACCGAGTTCCGTCGGTGACAGTGGGTCTGTTCGACGATACCTTGTGCTGTCGGTGACACCGGGTCCCGTCGGTGACACTGGGTCTGTTCGGTGATACCTTGTCCCGTTGGTGACACCGAGTCCCGTTGGTGACACCGAGTCCCGTCGGTGACAGGGGGTCTGTTCGGTGATACCTTGTCCTGTCGGTGACACCGGGTCCCGTCGGTGACACTGGGTCTGTTCGATGATACCTTGTCCTGTCGGTGACACCTTGTCCTGTTGGTGACACCGAGTCCCGTCGGTGACAGTGGGTCTGTTCGACGATACCTTGTGCTGTCGGTGACACCAAGTCCCGTCGGTGGCACGGGTCTGGTTGGTGACAGCAGGTTCCGTTGGTGAAATGGGTCTGGTTGGTGACACGGGTCCGGTTGATGGTGACAGCAGGTTCCGTTGGTGACATGTGTCTGGTTGATGGCGACAGCAGGTTCCATCAGTGACATGTGTCCAGTTGATGGTGACAGCAGGTTCCATTGGTGACACGGGTCTGGGTGGTGACAGCAGGTTCTGTCGGTGACAATGGGTTCTGTTGGTGACATGGGTCTGGTTGGTGACAGCAGGTTCCATCGGTGACACAGGTCCAGTTGGTGGTGACAGCAGGTTCCGTTGGTGACACGGGTCTGGTGACCCCACGGGTGACGTCCCGGCCAGAGCTTTGGTGGCACGAGGCCGGTCATGCCGCAGAGCGTCGCAGCCCCGTGCCACCAGCGCGGTGCCAGATGCCATCTCCCCCCCGTTACCCCCGGGGGGCCGGTGACTTGCTGGGGGCGAAGGCCTGGATGCCGGTGATGGCCCGTCCCAGGATCAGCGCGTGGATGTCGTGGGTGCCTGCGGGCGAGGGAGCGGTGGGTGCCCGGTGGCACCGGTGCTGGGGGTCACCCCGTGCGTTGTGTGTGTGTCCCCCACCCCTTGCCCCCGGGGGGTGGTGGTACCTTCGTAGGTGTTGACGGCCTCCAGGTTCATGAGGTGCCGGATGACGTGGTACTCATCACACACCCCGTTGCCCCCCAACATGTCCCGCGCCTCCCGGGCGATGGCCAGGGCCTTCCCACACGAGTTGCGCTTCAGCATCGACACCATCTCGGGGGCAGCCCTGGGGGGGTCACGGGGGGGGGGAAAATTCACAGAATCACAGAATCT